AATGCCAATTAAATCGTGATTACATGGGTTTATGACTGATCAGAGATTATTTTGATGAAATTCTAGCTACTACTTTAATTAAATATATGATGAGCTAACTTCATGAATATATATCCTTTGCTAGCCGGTTGTTTTGACAATAAAAATCATTATGAATTATAAATTTTACATTGTTCATGTGATATCAAACAAATCGAAAATAATATAATTATAATTTTATGTAAAATTGTAAGTTTATAATAATGAAATGATAATAAATGAATGTACATACATAATATATAATATTACGTGATATTGTAATTATAAAAATTTTACAAACAAATATATACATATTATATCAAATATCTGGCCCTTAATTTTAAAAAATAAAAAAAGAGCCAATAAAATTTGCGTGATGTTTTCATGCAAACGCTGGATGAAAATTTGGGAAGAATTAAGAATAAACAGCCTGAGATCACCCCTTTTGATTAACCTTTTCGAATCCGGGTCAATGGAGACTGGTGCGGCCATTTCCTTCTTGTTGTTGATTCCTTATTCTTCTTCTTCCTCTTCTCAAATTTATTGATTCCTCCTTCTTCTTTAAATTTATATTCCCAAGTGTCGTACACCTTTCACTACTAAAATTTTGGCTTTTAGCAACAATATATCAGCAACATGAGATTGTTTGTTACTGAAAATATGTATTAGCAACATAAGGTTTGTTGCTGAAAATAATTCTGTACACCTCAACCTACAAAAGCATCCCCACTTTCAGCAATATACTTTTTGTTGCTGAAAGTTACTTTCAGCGACATACTCCATCTTGCTGATATTTTCCGGTGAGTCCCTAGGATTTAAATTGAGCTATGCTTTTCAGCAACATGTTCCTTGTTGCTGAAAATGAATTTCAGCAACAAGAGCTATGTTGCTGAAAACCTTAAGTATTAGCAACATATATCTTATTGCTGTTATTCTTATCTTTTTACCAACCAAACATCAGCAACAAGGAACATGTTGTTGATATTCTTTGACCGGTGGTTGGCTAAGTCTATATATATATATACAAGCCGTCTGCAACCACAGGGGAGTACCACCACTTGCACTTTCAGCAACAAGGGGCATGTTGCTGAAATTGAATTTCAGCAACATGCCCCTCGTTGCTTACATTTTTCGGTCACCACACCATCCATTCCACTTTCAGCAACATGGTTCTTGTTGCTGAAAGTGAATTTTAGCAATAATGACCATGTTGCTGAAAATCCTTTGACCGGTAGCTCACCCATTATATATATACACCTTTTCATTGACAATATATACACACCTCTCACACCTCTCACACCTCTCACACTTTTCAATTTCTTGTTATTTTGTCCCTTACTCTTGTAATTTCTTTTTTTTTTTTAATTCTCACATAATTATTTTTATATGGTTAAAACCCCATTTTGGTCCCTGAACTATCGTATGGACCCTCGATTTGGTCCCTAAACTAAAAAAATCCCTGATTTAGTCTATAATGTTTATCATTTTAACCCCGATTTGGTCCTTCCGTTAAATATCCGCTTACATGTCTTGTTACTTGACGGGAAAAGGATGACATG